AAGCCGAAGCCCGAGTATGGGTCTGGGTATGGTGGAGAGAGTGAGTATGGATCCGGATATTCGAAGCCGAAACCCGAGTATGGATCCGGGTATGGTGAGGGGAGCGAGTATGGATCCGGGCATTCCAAGCCAAAGCCAGAGTATGGGTACAGTGGTGGAGAGAGCGAGTATGGATCTGGGTATTCCAAGCCGAAGCCAGAGTATGGGTACGGTGGTGGAGAGAGTGAGTATGGGTCCGGGTACTCAAAGCCGAAGCCGGAGTATGGATCCGGATATGATGGTGGAGAGAGTAAATATGGATCTGGATACTCAAGGCCGAAACCCGAGTATGGGTACGGTGGGGAAGAGAGTGAGTATAGGAAGCCAAGCTACGGGGAGGACGATGAGGGTGGGAGGTACAGGAAGACGGAGGAGTCTGGGTATGGAGGAGGGAGGAGCAACTATGAGAGGCCGAGCTACGGAGGTGGAGATGAGGAGCAGAGTGGATATGGTCGCAAGAAATATGTAAGATTTCTACCCTCTTAGATCTCATCATTGGTTTTTTCTAATTCCACTGTGATATGTTGCATTTCCCCAGAGTATATCAGTATATGTTGATTGCAGTAGATATTTCCTTAGTAATTTGTGTGTGCTTCATGAGCTAACATTAGAATTTCTAAATTGTGAACTTACTGTTATATTTATGATTTATCCATATAAATCTTTACTATTCATTTGATAATGATTGTTGATGGTTTAATGACGAATGCACTTGTCCAAATTGAATTATTTGATTGATCTCCCGTTTCCATTAGAGTATGTTTGGGAGTTTACTAGGGAAAGGGAAGGGAAGGTAAAATAGAGAAAGGGAATGTAGAGAAGGGAGGGAAAATATAACATCTTGTTTGGGAGTCTAGTAAAAAGAATGGAGGGAAACTTATTTTATCATGTTTGGGAGTTTTAACTGAGGGAAGGGAAGGGAAAGAAACTGTATTATAATCAAATCTCAGCTGTTAATCCATAGTGATAAACGGTCAAATTTCTTTTATAATTATTTCCCCTCCCTTTCCCTCCTCTATACCCCATTTTAGGGGTGGGGCGGGGATAAAATGATCATGTTTTAATGTGAATTTCACCTTCCTTCCCTTATATTACCCCTCTCGAAAAAACTCCCAAACAAAGCGAGCTCCCAAATTCTCTTACCTTGTACCTTCCATCCAAACACACCATTAGTTTCATAACATTGTTAACTTTTTCTAGTAGTTTTCATTTGAAAGATGTACATATTTTAATGTTGTTGCACTTACAATAGTGTCATCTTATGTTTTTTTTATGGTTTTTTTTTTTTTTGCTTTAACTCTAGAAATTGTAAACTTGTAGTATAAATTAAAACTACTTCTAAAATAATACACAATGAGTAAGATATCATGGTAGCATATCTCAGAACAAAATTCTTAGATTTAGAGATATGTGAAATCATTTCCTTCCATATAACATATATGCTATCCAGGTTGTAAGCTGCATATGCTCAACACGTACACAAGCATAAGAGACAAGAAATAAACCAACATAACATGATCTCGACGTAAAATTCAGGTGACATTCAAGAACAACACCAAACTGACCAAACCATACGAGTACTTAAAAATACTTAAATTTGCATTGTAGCCAGGTTCCTTATGGATTTTATTTATTTGCATTGTAGTTTTACCTCGATGGAGTTCTTAATTAAGAACAGAGAAACGGAGAAAATTAGTTGGAATTGCATTTTGACTTTGGTTTCATGTTAAATTGCGTTAGCTAAAATAGTGAAACACGATCAACTATACTATCGAATATCTCAAAGGCCTAGGTGACCAACTTACTTTTAACATGTTTATCAAGTGGACTAATATATAAATTCTAAGTTCGATTAGGACATGTTTTAGATACTCAAAGCACTTGCTCTTTCCTAATATTTGTTCTAATATTTTTTGTTGGGACAACTACACCAAGGTTACTTTCCCCTGATCATCGACCAGTGTCTATTGGAGAACTCCACATGCCCTAGGGACCGGATAAATGCTCTAAGGTTCACGAAATCCTCTTTTACAAAAAGGGCTGTTTGTATGTATAGCCTCTTAAATCATGTGTTTTTGCAAATTACCCCAAATCTCAGTATTTGCAAAACTACCCCTAGTCACCAATTTTGAAGACATATATTCTCCATATCAACAGATCATCAACTTTGATAGGCTAATGCAATGTAAACATATCAAACAAACTGACAATATCCAACGAGGTTGATTTGTTGGCTTGGAGGGTTTTTTCCCCTTCCAAATTTGATGGTTCGGAGGTACTTTTGTAAATATTGAGATTTTGGGGTGTAGTCTTGCAAACCAGCTTGATATAAGGGGTACACCCAACATAAAAGATCTTACTTTGACAATGAAAGAGCATTACTTTTTGCAAATGCAAGTCAACGAAGAGGTTGAGTTGGAAATTTTATCTTTTTGTTGCACTCTTTAAGTTATGTTCAAAAGTTCATAAATTAAGAACAATTTCCATGAATCCATGTCAGTATGTAAGTTGCAGCATGGATATAGTACAGGTACAGGACACAACAAACTTGTAAAAGGTAGTGCATATGGGCATGGTTGAAACACATGGGCTGAAATCTATTGTAATTGTAGTTTTTTTGAAATAAACTTTTTTTAAGAAGAATATTCCTGAAAAATAGCAATCCTGTATAATCATTAAAATAGTGTGGTTAGATTTCAAAACTCCATGTATATTGTAGGATGGGCTTGTACTTGGTTATGTATGGACATGATTACCTGTGTAGTGTACATAAAGTTTATCCCATTGTATGGTAAGGGTCTGTAGTAATATTTATAAATATATTTACTTTTGCGATGGAAATTGACATAGTGTGTTAATCAGTTTTTTCATCATAAATATCCTGTTGTATATTTAGTTAGAAACTATCAAAACAAGGTAACTGGACTAACCAGACGGTCATGGATATATAGACCTCCATGATCATCAATTCCTATTTCCTATTACAAAACCTACATCAAATGCAAATGTCAGTTCAACCTCTTAGACTAAGTTTATTTTTTCTGTCCCCTTATGGGACTAAGTTTCATGGCTGTTTCCATGTAATGCTCAGGAGTCTGGACATCTATCTCTCCTTTTCTTTCTATTTATTTCTTCTTCTTCCTCCTCCTCCTCCTCCACCTCCTCCTCCTTTTTTAGGAACAGGTATTATATTTTTTTATGTTTGGGTTTGGTGCTTAAAAAACTTTCTGCTTAGTTCATAATTATCAGAAATTTGACTGGGAAGCTTGGTCTGTCCTTGTACTAAAAAGCTAGGATAGCCATGTACACATTTTTTTCTGAACATATATTATTTGATATCTTGTAAATATATTAGGGAGAATATGTTTCTAGGTATGTGCAGTCATACAGACTGACACATGATTGTGATTCGGGTTGCCCTCTTGTTTGTTTTGGTGTATAGCTCTTTGCATTACTATTATTTCTCACTTCTTTTTTGAATGCAATACCGCTGTTACCTTAATTATTTGTAATTCATTTGAACTTGCTTTCTATCAACAATAGAGATGTTGGGAATGTGCTATTGATTCTTTGTAACTTAATGTGGTTTGATAGGGTGTAGTTTGACATGATACGAGATTGTATCCTACTCTAAATAGGGGACGGTAGGTCCATGGATAAAGTTGTTTGGTTTCTCTATACAAGGCCTTCTACAGTTGTAAACCGAGGTAAGGCGGATCATAATTAGATCATGTTGGTTTTCTTGCTTAAAAAAGAATTCTAGCTCATCCCGCACACCTGAATCATCTAAAAGAGTAAGAAAGGAAATATAAGATCTATATTTTGATTTCGTTAGCCCATTATTGTCTTGCATGTCCGAACCACTGGCCTATTCCCTGAACTGATGCTCTTATCATTTGGCTAATCCTTGCATTGGCTTACGCTGCAGGGTGCTGATGATTCAGATGATGAGGAAAAGAAGCAGCGCCGCCGCAACGATTCAGATGATGAAGAGAAGAAGCAGCGCCACCACTACCGCCGCAACTATGATGAAGATTGAATCAACTGCAGCATGGTTGTTGGTGATTGCTTGCTCGCTTACCCCCACTAAACAATATTATTAAATAAAGATGGGGTTGATTTGTGCCTTTTTATTGTGTTTCTTGTTTTTGACGTACTTTGATTATGATGCTTTCCGCTGCCGGATGTTTATTGTGAGAAGCTGGAACAATATGTGGATTCAAGGCAGTGCTACGCCTTGACAAACATGTACTTTGCTGGGCTTGTGGTAGTAAAATATTTTTATGTGTTTTTGGTTGAGTAGTTATGGTTTCTAGGCTCTGGAGATGAGAGAAATCCTGAACGAAATTTACAACTATAAACAATCTATAAAAATAATACGCGAGTACTTTTGAACTAATAGTTTGGATATGAACTATTAACTGTACTCTTGAATTTAATAAGCTCTCTGTGATTTTTCAAATTTCTTGCTAATTACTAGTATGCATATTTTGGGCATATCGTTTGGATCAAGCGCCCACATTACAGATGGATATTTTTGGAGGTTGGTCTGAGCATTAAAGTATCGATTCGATTCAAATTCGATTCCACATTGAACTAGTTTGCGGTCCGTGCAAAGCACGGTATTTTATTTTATTTTTGCTACAGTAATCCTTTTTTTTAATATGGCATGATTTGAATTTTTGAAAGTGCTACAGTATCCCGCTCTGCTACAGTACCTTTTAGATGTTACAGTATACCCGTGTGTTACAGTAATATTTTAAATTAATTATTAGCTACAGTAATAATATTACAGCAAATGCCACTGTAGCATTTACCGTCCTATTTGTATAAAGGAATAGATAAAGGAATAGACGGGAAAAAAAAGAACAAATACGCAATTGTAGAAAAATGAAACCGAGTTTCTTATCTCACTCCGTCGCTGTATCCCAGTTACCAAGGTGACACGTTTCTTACTTTCACCAAGGGTGAAGCCACTCCGCCACTTTCACGCAAGGTGAAGCCATAGCCCACATTGCCCTAAGGTCTCCCCATTTCCAAATCCACCGACGCGCTCATTTCCCTCTCAAAAAGGCTGCCATCTTGTGCCGTCCACGCCGCTCCCCACTAGCCTAAAACACCCCCTGCTCACCAACCAACTTCATGATTATCAAATCCCTCCATTTCTCCCTCCCCCCTCCCCCCATGCTCTCTGCTCTCTAGCATGGGCGGCAATCAACGCCGTGATGCTGATCTCTTCCGCTCGAATCCGAATCCGAATCCGAGCAAAGTACTCAAAAACAAGAACAAGAGGAGGAAGAAGAATCCTACCATTCTCCCGCCGCCTCCTCCGCCAACAGATCCCCGACCGAAACCCTAAGCCCGGCCTCCCTCGACGCCATCGACGCCCACCTCCGCTCCCTCAAGCTCAAATACTCCTCCAAATCCCTCTCCTCCCCAAACCCTAACCCCAACCCTAGCGCCGTCAAGCTCTACCTCCACGTCGGCGGCAGCTCCGCCGGCGCCCGTTGGATCCTCTCCGACAAGCTCTCCTCCTTCTCCTTCTTCAAACCCAACGAGAACTCCGACGACGACGATGAAGAAGAATCCGCCTCGGCTTCTCCTTGGTTCCTGAAGATCGGATCCAAGGTCAAGGCCAAGGTGGGCCCCGGCCTTCAGATGAAGTCGTTCCCCGATCAGAGACGGGTCGATTTCGTCGCTGAAGGTGTCTGGGCCATTAAATTTTCTAACATCGAGAGCTACAAGGAGTTCCACCATCAATACAAGAAATGCCTCTTTGAAAACACCTATGGGTTTGAAGACAACGATGAGAATAAAGTTAGGGTTTTTGGGAAAGATTTCATGGCGTGGGCGAAGCCTGAATCGGCCGACGACATGATCTGGGAGGATGCTGACGATAAGTTCAAGGGGACACCGGAGCAAAAAGAGGATGTCTTGGAGGAATTTGAGGAAGAATCTCATGGTGGTGGGATTCAGAGTCTTGCACTCGGTGCTCTTGATAACAGTTTCTTGGTTGGGGATTCTGGGATTCAAGTTGTGAAGAATTTTGCCCATGGAGTTCATGGAAAAGGGGTTTCTGTTAAGTTCTCAAATAACTTGAATCCTGCATTTTCTACTCCGAAGAAGGCTTTGCTGATGAGGGCAGAGACGAATATGCTGCTGATGAGCCCTGCTGATTCTGGAAAGCCGCATGCAACTGGGGTTCACCAGCTCGATATCGAAACTGGAAAGCTTGTCACTGAATGGAAGTTTGAGAAAGATGGAGCTGATATCACTATAAGAGACATTACTAATGATAGTAAAGGCTCGCAACTGGACCCATCAGAGTCTACTTTCTTAGGATTGGATGATAATAGATTGTGTCGGTGGGATATGAGAGATCGAAGAGGAATGGTTCAGAACATGGCAAGTGCAATGGAATCACCTGTGTTGAATTGGGCTCAAGGGCATCAGTTTTCAAGAGGAACCAACTTCCAATGCTTTGCAAGTACGGGAGATGGGTCAGTGGTGGTTGGGTCACTTGATGGGAAGATTCGATTGTACTCAAAGAGCTCGATGAGGATGGCAAAGACTGCTTTTCCAGGACTTGGGTCGCCTATTACTCATGTGGATGTGACTTTTGATGGGAAGTGGATTTTGGGCACGACTGATACTTATTTGATCCTTATATGTACAATCTTTAAGGACAAGGATGGGAAGGAGAAGACAGGATTTAGTGGGAGGATGGGGAGTCGAATTGCTGCTCCGAGGTTGTTGAAGCTTACACCATTGGATTCATTTCGGGCTGGTGCAAACAATAAGTTCCGTGGCGGGCAATTCTCCTGGGTGAGAAACTCAAAGTTCATTTTGCCTCATTATTTAATATTTACTCACATATGACACGTTTTAGGTTCCTATAAATAGACATATGTCCATTATAACATGATTCAATTTTATGATAGTATTTGTTACCATAACTATCATCATTTTGAACCAGATTGATAACTTTATTACTAAATAGTCTTCATTCTTGATGCCATTTCTTTTTTTTTTCTTTCCTGCGAATAAAGGATGGAATTTTTTTTATTATTTTCATGAGAATGATTTTGTCTAATGCTCCATTATTTGTCCTATGCAAGCCTTTAGTTCTTCCTTGTAATATGTCAATCGTATTTTAGAACAAGAATACTCATTTTGAAGTTTAACCAGCTGATGGTAAATGGATGTTGAACATGACAAGTAAGCGGACTGGGAATATCTTCCGTAAAAATTTGGAATATTGGCTTACTCTGAAGTTATATAATGAAATTTCTAATATGTGTACCACAAAATGAAATGATATAAGGAAATTTCTAATGTATGTTTTGAACATTCCCTTCATGGTGGCAATACACTTAGATTTTAGTTTCTTGATGTGTTACACACTATATTTAGTCTCTAGACATTTCGAGGATAGTTCAGGAAGCACGGACACTCACTCAGGACACCTTACCACCTTTTACGAAACACTACATGAAAACATTTGTCTTTGTTCATGTAAATAAAGTCTAACTCAATTTATGAAAGCTATTGCTGGTATTGATTCATTATGATCTATTAGTACATATGAATAAGGTTGTACATAAAATTTTGTTCAACCAGTCAAGGGCTTCATCCACCAGGCCACTTCATGGCGTGGATTAAAGTTACTGTTGATCTTTCCTCTTACATTTATTTATTCGTTACTCTACAATTTCCTACACATTTTTTCACACTTTAAAGATGGATAACTATGATCTTTAAGACTTAAGCTAGTTAGGCTTGATGTTGGAGACATCAACTCCAGTGTGAGGCCACTTAGCATGAACCATGACATATGTGAGGAGAACCTACTAGTCTAAATATTGAAAAAGAAATAGCTTCATAATTCATACATCTATTGGTTAAAATTGTCATTCTACCCAGTAAGGTGGAGTTTGTATACTGAGCTATGCCATTTCCCTTTTATGAAATTGAGTTTCTATGAACCTTCTTATGGGTTAAACTCAGGGTTCTAATCTTGTAGTCGGGGAACAAGATTTCTTCTATTCCAGAACTCTGTAAGCAAGTGCATTTAAAAGCTGCACTGCAAATGAATTTGATGCATACCAATGGCGAAAAACTGCTTCGGTTAGACCACTAAAACACCATCTCATGTTCCATCATAGATTCAGGATCTGTGTGTATGTGCATGTGCGCACTTTTGTATGTGGGTGGGTGTGCGGGGGTGTGTGCACGCGCGTGCGCACACATGTCCTTATATTATATACACTTGCATTCTTATACAATGAAAATCTTCTTGTAATAAACTTCCTTTCTTAATGAGTATGGGGCATGGTTCACTGGACAATACCCCAGATTTGAAAAGTTCTATTAGTTTGTGTTAGAGGGTAAGATAAAGATGTTTGGTCCTGGATCCAACCTTAAGCACATGGAACCAAGGAGCATGGTGCATGTATATAAGTGTTTATATAAAAATATAACCAATTTGCAAGCTTGATTTGAATGCAATAAAATCAAGGAGGAATATGCTTGCCCATTCAGCAACTAGTACATTTAGCTAACATCTTTATAAAAGATATAAATTATAACAAGAATGATACTTTTAACTTAATTCTGTTTTCTTTGCATTCTGTGGTGTAAGCTTGTTATCTTGTTCTATTTAGTTTTCTTACATATCATGTTTGTGCCACACATTTGTCTTTACTCTTTAGGCTCCATTGTGTCATTGTTGGGTTCGTGGAAGTATGAACCATCTCTCTATCATTACTTAATAAACGAGGCTCATAATGTAGGATAAAGTTGAGCCTTTTGGTACTCAATATGACATACCTTTAGGATGAAATTTTGATTATGACAATTTGGTTACAGTAAGCGTGAGCAAGAACCGACAATTTGTCTTGTATGAATCTATAACAATCTGGTTTTGCATGATAAATTGATTTTACAAGAGCTTTCTTGATCTACAGATGCTAATTATATGATATCGTGATCCTGTATTTTAAACTTTTTAAATTGTTTGGAAATTTTCTCTTTGACGGTGATCATTCTTAAAATATTATAATTGATGAGTCTATTAGGGGTTCAAGCTACCACATGTTGGTACAACTGCTCCTTAGCTATTCGATCACCTGTCAAATATGAACCCTCGGTGGAATTTGTTCTACCGGATCTTGTGTTAAGTAATAGAAATAAGAAATCACACCAAATCAAAAATAATTGCAAGAACAAAGAACACCGAGTTTTAACGAGGTTCGGCAACTTACCTATGTCCTCGGCAGCCACACAAATAATTTCCTTTATATATAAAGAAGATTACAAAGCTTGTAATAGAGTAAATCTCAACTTGAGGTCTCTCAAAAAGAAACAACAGAAAAACTCTCTGTTGTTTAAATAAGGCGCGAGATTTTACAACACTGAAATCTCCTCTCTCTCTCTAAAAAAAATGCTACAGGAACTCCTTAAATGAACGCGATTTTCCTCTGAAAATCTTGAGCTCGATTTAATAGCCGCGCCTCAAAGAGTTGTTGGTGAGAAGAAAAATTCGGGGTTGCGCACACATATTTCGCTGCTTATGGGTTTCCCTTAAATAGGAAAACCCTAGCCAGCTTGCGCCAGCTGTTTCCCAACAGCGCAGGCAAAGAAACAGCAGGGACGAAATAAAAGGGGGAGGCGAACATCGATCTCTCCTACTCAACCCCACGCTAGCCTGCACGTCCATTTTCGAGCTCAAACCCGCCTACAACCAGGCTTGTCGACTTCGCCAGAAAGATCTTCAAATCCGCCTGCTCAAGTTTGCCCGATTGAACTTCGCCTGTGTCGACTTGCTAACTGCCCTAGTCTTCGACTTCGCCTGTGTCGACTCGCCAGCTGATCAAGAGGTCGCCTGTAACCCTCCGCGAGCTCGCCTGAGCTCGTCTTCGCTGTTCGACCTCGCCAGAGGTCGCCGTCGACGGGGATAAGGTATGGGTCTACATTCCTTTTCCAACAATCTTCCACTTGGAGACCAAACCGTTGTCAGCAAGCTCTCTTTACAAGCATCTTCTCTTGTGTGGTTCCACCCTCATCTCTTACATATGAAGACCAACTAAAGTTACGCATAACTCCAGTTTCCGAATGATCACTACTTTAGTCAACATATCTGTAGGATTTTGGCTCCCCAAAATCTTCTCCAACTGTAACTTCTCGTCCTTAATCATCGAGCGTATGAAGCGGTAGCGTAACTCGATGTGCTTCGTTCTGACATGAAACACTGGGTTCTTGGCAAGGTGTATAGCACTCTGGCTATCACAATAAAAAAATTCGTTCCCCCGCTTCAGACTCAACTTTTTCAGGCATCCGGTTAACCAATTCATTTCCTTGCTCGCCTCGGTCACTACGACATACTCTACCTCAGTTGTGGACAACGTCACAATCTTCTGTAAACGTGAGATCCAGTGCATTGCTGTCAACCCTAAGGTATAAACATACCCCGTGGTGCTTCGTTTTGTATCATGATCACCAGCGAAATCCGCATCCACATATCCCTACAGTACCAATTCTTTTCTCCCGAAACATAGTGGCATATTCGTGGTCCCTCTCAGATATCGTAATATCCACTTCACGACCTTCCAATGCTGCTTCTCTGGGTTGCTTGCAACCTGCTCACAACTCTCACTGTATGGGCAATATTCGGCCTCGTGCAAACCATTGCGTACATCAGACTACCAATGGCTGATGAATAGGGCACCTTTCTCATGTGCTCGCTCTTTCTCTGCATCAGTCTTGGGTGATTGCTCACCAGATAACTTGAATCGGCTTCCAAGGAGCGGCTAACGACCTTAACATTCTGCATATTGAATCTCTAAAGTACTTTCTCAATGTATTCAGACTGACTCAGTTTTAGCGTCCCGTCAGCCGCATCTCGGCTGATTCGTATCCTAAGAATATGCTTTGTTACACCCAGATCTTTCATGGCAAACTATTTTACTAACTGCTTCTTTAGCTTGTTTATCTCCTGTAAACACGATCCTGCAACTAACATGTCATTAATATACAATAATAACACGATATAGCTGGACACGAACCTTTTGAAGTAACAGCAATGATCTGAATTGCATCTCTGCCATAACCATTGCTTTGCATGAAGTTATCGAACTTCTTATACCACTGTCTTGGAACCTGTTTCAATCCGTATAAGCTCTTCTTGAGCCTACACACCATCTCTTTCTTTCCTTCCTTAATGAAGCCCCTGTTTCAATCCGTATAAGCTCTTCTTGAGCCTACACACCATCTCTTTCTTTCCTTCCTTAATGAAGCCAACATGTTGCTTCATGTAGATTTCTCTTGAGCCTACACACCATCTCTTTCTTTCCTTCCTTAATGAAGCCAACATGTTGCTTCATGTAGATTTCTTCATCTAAATCGCCATGAAGAAAGGTAGTCTTCATATCTAACTGCTCAAGGTAGAAATTTTTAGCAGCTACCAAGCTCAATACCACCCTAATGGTTATGAGCTTCACAACGGGGGAAAATATCTTCGTATAATCCACTCCTTCCTGTTGTTAGAACCCCTTCACGACTAATCTGGCCTTGTATCTCTTCCTTTCATCACTCTCCTGTTTGACTCGGTAAACCCACTTGTTATATAAGGCCTTCTTCTGTGCAGGTAGCTGAGCTAACTCCCATGTCTCGTTCGAGTGGAGAGAATCCATCTCTTCTTGCATTGCATGCTTCCACTGCTGAGATTCACTCACTTGCGTAGCCTCCTCATAGCATTCTGGTTCTCCGTTATCTGTCAAAAATAGGTAGTCTAGTGATGAGAGATATCTGAGATTCGGTTTGGGTAC